GTAATGGGGGGAATATATATGGAATTCTTTTTGTAATTGGCCAGATAGTTATTTTTCAAAGTTCTGGCATAGACTACGCAAGTGTAGGGCTGTGTATTGAAACACATCAATTTTTTTAAATTGATATTTTAATGAAAGTTTGTAGAGAACTTGGATTTCCATTCATTCATTGTTTCACATTTTCCTCCAGGCCCACTGCCACCTCCAGTTCACTTTTCTCTTTGAAAAAAATATTCTTTCATTTTTATACAAACTACCGCACCTCCCCCCAAGTCCAGTTTACTATGCGGTTCTTATTCTGGACAGTTGTCATGCAAATAGTACCTAATCATATATTCCTTTTAAGCAGGTCTATTGCTCATCTGTTTCAAGGCAATGTATACCATTTCCCTCCTCTTTTCTTAGTTTCCCAATTCCCATGCCAGTCCTGTTTTATAACAGTGGCATTATACAGTATTTATCCTTTTGTGACTGAGATATTTCACTCAGCATGATGTCACGGATTTTGTATAATATTTCAGGAGTTGTTTATTTTTCAGTGTTGTGTAGTATTCCATTGAGTGAATATACCACAACCTCTCTATCCATTCATTTTTTTGATGGGCACTTGGGTTGCTTCCATCTCTTTGCTATTGTGAATAAAACAGTAAACATGGGTGTGTATATATCTGTTTGGGTGGTAGTTTTTATTTCTTTAGGGTATATTCCCAGTAGTGGAATTTTTGGGTCAATTGGTATTTCTATTTCCAACTTTTTGAGAAACCATCATACTGCCTTCCAGAGTGTTTATATCATTTTACACTCCCTCCAACAGTGAATAAGGGTTTCAGTTTCTCCACAACCTCACCAGCATTTGTTGTTTGCTGCTCTGTTGAATTTTTCTATTGTTACTGGGGTGAGATGATATCTCATAGTTGTTGTGACTCAATTGGTTTTTCATTTGTTAACAGTATTCCTTTGGTAGCAGTTGGCTCTGAAACACATGGCTATGGCAGGTTGAGGTTTGTAGCAGAGTTCTAGCTTTCTTCCAATTCTTAACTGGGCTCAAATGTTACTTGAATTCTTTCTGGCCAGTTCCTATCACATGGCTTTTCATTCAAGGCCATTACTGTTTGAAACCAAATCACAGCTTCTAGGAGAATTCAGAGGGGTACATTTATTTGCTTGGGCTTCTCCTTAACAATTCTCAGGTCTCATTGCTACCACCACCAGGGTAAAACCCCAGCACCAATCTTATACACTTTTAATTTTATTCTGCTGATCGTGACCTTACACCCTCTAAGGTAACCTACTTATGAAAGAAAGTGGTGAATTCAGTAGAATTATCTTCAATAACATCTTTTTAAATTTCCCTTTCTCTGGAATGAATTGTCTCTGTCCTGTTAAAGCCTTAGTGAAATAGATTAATTTGGGATGTGTTATTCTCTTAGAACAGCAAACATACATTTCAAATTTAATCAATTAACTTGTTATTGCAAAATATCCTAACAATAGTAGTGGGACCTTTTGCAGCAGTAATGATATCAAGCAAGAGAAGGAGAGTTGACAATGGGCACATTTCCTCTCCTTCATGGTCACCTTAACTTAGTTTATAAGCTAAACAATTTGATTTCTGGGAACAATTTTGAGAATCAAGGTCTTAGGGCCTTGAGGCCCCAAAATAGTTTTACAATATAATAGCAATATATCATAAGGTGAGGATGTATTTCTGACGCTAAAAATGATTTAGCCTCATTAACAATTAATGAGCTGTGGTGGCCTAGCGGATAAGGAACATGGTTCAAATCTACCAGCTGCTCAACAAGAAAAAGGTAGTCTCTTACCAAGCAATTCAAACCCTCTGAAAACCGGCTGGTGGATCAGGTATGGGTTGGTTCCTACTCAAAGGCAATGAGTCAGTGAGTGAGTAAATAGTGAATGTCAGCACCCTCCAAATTGACATGCAAAAGGTTCTTCGGCTTGGGTCCTAGTTTATGTATTTGTGACTAAGACTTCTGAGGAAGAAGCTGGTGTGATTTAGTGCCATAAAGCCATCTCTGACACATTACTGGGCACACTGTACGTGCTCAAGGCTAGTGGAAAGAATGCATGATCATTTCTGGCTTCCAAGGTACGGAAACATTTCATGCCTGAAAATCAAATATTTTGGATTCTAGCCTGTGTTACATCAAGGCAAAAGAAGGTTTCATTCTTTTGAGTTCTGCATTTTTTTTCCACCCCCGAATAGACTAGGAAGGAAAATGGAAGATAAATCAGATCAAGGAGTGTCTGATATTAATTTGAGAGGACTGGGAACTGTTTTCTGCCTGTTGTCCCTCTTCTGACCCAAAACTGCCCTCAGGCCCTTTAAAGCGCTTCCCTCATGATCTGAGCCAGGAGCAGCAGGAGGTGTGGGAACTGAAAGGCCGCGGAACTAGAAGCTGAGGGACGAGTGTCCGGGGGAGGGAGGAAAAGCGAGGAACTAGCAGATTTAGTTCCGAGGTGGTGGCGGCTTCCGCGGCGTGGGAATGGAGCCCCTGCGAGTCCTGGAGCTGTACAGTGGCATAGGAGGCATGCATCATGCTCTCAGAGGTATATGACTGGAAGATGCCGCCCCTCGGTTTTTCGTTGTTTGTTTCACAGCAGTCTGCAGATCTCAGGCGCCAGGGAGGGGCGGAGCGGAGGGCTGCTGGGGGCGGGGCGGAGAGTGGCGGAGGGAGGGGGGGTGGTCTCGGTTGTCCTGGAAACCGAATCTTGGCGTAGTCTATGCCAGCCTTTCATCTGGACAGCTTTCTTCTAAGTCTCTAGACAGGCTAAGGGTCGGGGTCGCAGGGGTGGGGGTTGCTGTGTTTGTGATAATGACTACAGGATACCTGCAAAATCAAGAAGAGCAAGTCCATCCTAAAACCAGACTCCGGGTTCTCCATCCAGCAGTCACCGAGAGTTTGGCAGCCTGGTCCCTTCAACCTTCCTGGAAGTGGAGGGGGTGAGGGGTAGTTGAGCTGGGCAGGGTAAGAAGAGATGGATCTTCATAGTGAAAACTACAGTTCAAGGTGAAGCCTAGAGGCAAAGTCTGGTTAATTTTGATTGTTGAAAGGAAACACATGTCCTCTATTTGGCACTTGAAGAACTGAGTTACAATTTCTTCTGTCACTTAGTTGCAGATTGACCCTGTAATGTTCAATGTTTGTATAACTTAGTTGCAAGATGACCTTAACCTTTCTGAACCTGTTTCCTAGTTTCAAAAAAATATAAAACTGGTACTTGTTGAGGATTATTACAGTAATTAAAACATACACTTTAATACTGCTGTAAATTATATCTCAATAGTGGCTTTTTAATTTTTATTTGAATGAAAGCTTGCAGAGCAAATTGGTTTTAAAACCATTCAGTCATCATACACATTTTGTTTTATGACAGTTAATACCCACAATGCAACTGCAGTTTCCCCACTGACTGTGATGTGAGATTCCATTTCTATCCTACCTTCTGAGTTTCATTCTTGCAGAGATTGTGTCATCCGCATAATGCAGGTTGTCAATTAGTCTTCCTCCAATCCTGACGCCACCTTCTTCTTCATATAAGGCAACTTCTCAAATTATTTACTTGCCATACAAATTGAATAGGTATGAATAAAGTAT